AGTAAGCAATGTTCAACATTTATTACAGTAGGCAATGTTCAATCTTTATTACAGTAGGCAATGTTCAATCTTTCTTACAGTAAGCAATGTTCAACCTTTATTACAGTAAGCAATATTCAACCTTTATTACAGTTTATTTAAATCTTTATTAATAATGTACCAACAAACATTACGCTGTATTTTTTACATTATTTTTTGACATATTTTTTTCAGATAATAAGTTCATTTGTTTATTTAATTCATTAAGGTCTGAATTATATTTAAATAGTTTATATTTAAAGTCCTTTCTACGTTACAAAGGTGGTGTTCTACGCTTGTGGTAAACTATGAAGAATACCTGGTACCCAATTTTGAGAACGAAAACGTTGAAAAAGGTCGTTAAGTTAGAAGCCTATTCATAAATGGGAATTCTCAGAATTTAATTATTTTGCAATAAATTGTACTCCTGGGCAATATAAGGATATTGACTTTAAAAAGTAGGGGTCACCAGTCATATTTTCGAGGACATGGTGGGTATTTACCATATCCAAAATTGTAGGTTGGTGACATAGGCTGAACAAATTGTATATTGTGAATGATGGGGTACTTTTCGTCTTAAAATATTTAAAAAATATTGATTTTAAAAAGTGTTAAAACAATATAATGTGTTGTATGGAATCGTACTAAAAGAAGCCAATATTAAGACAATTTTCTCAGATCACGTCACTGTAACACACAAGAAATACTATTTCATGGTACCATGGTACAATAGCTCGATGATTGTTTATAATAAACAAAAAAAAACATTGTAATGCGATGCGAATTGTGAGTAGTCTTCTGTCTTCAGGTAAAAGGTACGTTACGCGAGTTATGCATTAAGGGTTATTTTTCAATAAAATTGCAAAAACAGTATCCTTTCAATGACGCGTTAACTCTATTTTTGTCAGTCCAAGAAGATGCAATTCGTCGAAGCAGTGTTCAGAAACGATCAAAATCATCACGTATGAAATTCACCTTGTTACCTCCGGGTAATAAGCTGGACATAACCTTTAGATTTGGCTATATGGTCGTTGAATGCACTTGAATTCCTTTTTAATCAAATCAATCAACGGAAAAAGGTTAAAAGTTTGGACTGTCAAAACATGAAATTTTGAAAATCTCACACTCAAACTTATGTTGTATCGTTTTGTGCATGCCAAGATTTTCGTCAATCATTTATGACATAAGAGAGCGTTTAACCGATACAATAAAAATAAGCACAAAACATTTCTGGTCTGGAAAAAAATGACGTTGAAAAATTACATAATTTTTGGAACGAAAACAAACATTTTTTATTTGAAAAAACACTTCTTTTTAAGACAATTATACAACACTTGATATCATAGAATGTAATATGATTGTCTTTTAAATTCTCTGGTCCAATCAAAATGGCGCTGCCATTGATCCACATAATAAGAGCAGATGTTGTGGAGCTATGTTTTTGCGCCCTTAAGCAATGCATCACTCCTGTGGCGGAGAAATGACGCACGTAGATTGTGTAGAAGTGTGTAGTCAATCTTCGTGTGGAATCTCAACAACATTTGTTACAGATCGAAACAATAACATAGAGAATTTGATGCGTCGCGTAAAATTTCATGCACGGGAGCGGATTTTCCATTGTCAGACGTTTTAAATGATTTTCTCAGAAATAACATCTGGCCAATTCCATTAACGACACACATCTCAATAGATATGTTCATTTACCAACAGCGCAGTGACCGAAGCCACCGCCCAACTGTTTTTTCACTACTCAGCGAAAGCATATAATGATTTGGAAGACTTTGATATAAACCCCGCTCTCTAAAGTTACACTAGCAAATCAAATTCAGTTTATTAACATACAACCAATCATAGACACTTCCGTTGACATAGCATATCATGATGTCATCCCAAAAGAAGTCACGTGATAAATTAGTAAGTTGTTTTGCATTGTATCAACGCCAACTCTTGGAGATTAGTATTTTCCTAACTCCATATGTCAAGATTACAAATATTAGTGACCACAATGTTCTCAAATACATATACTTGCATACGTATGTGGACTCGCTTAAATATATAACAGTACCTAATATGATACACATTGTTTTTGAACTAAAAAAATCATTAAACTTATATAATTAGGGCAAAAGATGCCATTTATTAGGACGTAATATAACATTTATTTCCAATTTCGCGGATGTGAGTCATTAAAATTATCAATTCTTGCGTGGTGTACTTATAATATATAATTGTGTGTTCTAAATATATTACATGCGATAATAAAGAACGTCAAAGAAGCGGCAAAGTGTTTTCATCCATCATTTGGGAATCAATAAGTTATTTGTTCTGAAGTTTTCTTAGCATTCCCCTCGGGATCCCATCGTCCAGACATTCTCTTCATGATGCTTGGTCTGGCAAAAAAACTATCAGACACTGTTTTCTTGCTTGACTTGATTCGATTACATAACCACAATATTAAAGTGATGACAAACAGTGCACCAACCACAGCCAAGGCGATGTACTGATCTCCTATATCAATTAGAGAAAATACCATTAGTGAAACATTGAATTAAATTAGTAATAGATAGTATATTTAAAACGCTGGTTACATTACATTTTATAAATTATGAATAAGAGTGCCTGAGTCGTGGGAAAATTATTGTTTTATATGATTGTAATGTATTTTTCAAATATTGGCCCGATGTGAAATTAATACTGCGGTATATTCATAGCTATTGTTATTAATTATGCTGTGACGTTATGGAACACCTCCAAAAAGAAAGATTGCGTTCGCTTTTGCTAAACATAATTTGTTTTGTGTGTTGTATCTTCGTCTGAAAAGTTCGTTTACAGCCAAAGACTTGTAGCGCAGTAGATGTCATCAGGGTTAAGTAGAAGAGGTCAATTAAACTACACTAGCAAACAAACCCACACGAAAACCAATTGCTTTTGAGCGTAGTACAATTTACTAGTTGCGAATTTCACGTCGGATCTAACGAGTTTACACAAACTGATTTCGATTGAAATGTACGAAGCAGTATGATCGGAGACAAATTATTACGTTTTTCGTCACAACTACATAATCGACCTCGTTATATCTCACTGTAGCAAAGGAAGGGATGACTCAGAATGCAATGGATTGACCACTTACGGAGTGGAATGATTGGTGTATACTTGTCGGTCTGTGTCATGTATGAGTCCTCATCGGCCATTGTTATCCTCAACCACCTACAATTCGGGAACACGTTGGTAATTAGCTTCTTCGACAATCACTAGTAACACTGTCACCTGTGTGTTTAATATTGACATATGATGGTCAGGGCATGGAAAGTAAGTCTATTATCTTCCATGGTCGGGGTAATTCACATCATAAGGCATTTTTTTGTTTGGTTTGTTCGGATATGTAACTCTCATTGTAAATACAGTTACGATACAGTGTGGATAAACTCTCATGTTGGAAGTTACTTCATGAAGAAAGCGACCGCACCCATTTCTCTAAATCCTTATACCATCATGATGGCTGAATTGTCGATTTACAAATTTGACATGACTTATGGATGATTTATTTATTATCCCACAGTATCGTAACCTTTAAATAACGAGTAAATTTAATAAACATTTATACTCACTTGGTGCAAGAGAGTTGCTAGTAGAAGAAAACGGTCGTACACAATAATCGACAGATGCTTGGCTGTTACTTCAATGGTCTCTCCTCCACATGTAGGGTAGTGGGCGTTTTCTAAACTTAGGTAGATTAATACATTGATAGAAATATCGTGATTACAAGAAACTCATGCTTTAGTTGTGTTTATTTCAGTTTAGTTTAGTTCTATTTAGTGATACATATTAGCGTATTACATATGATTTATATTATTTTATTTTGTGGAGCGTTTGTGAAAAAGGGGACATCAATAAACCGTCCATTTTATTGTCGGTTTGTATATTCCTGAGTATCCCCTCAAATAAAATAAAAAGCAGTAAAAATCAAAAATTATTTTTAAGGCTTTTTCGTTTGATGTCCCTACATATAATAGTACCGTGTATTTAGGTAGATCGGAATACTTGTATACACCTTGTTAGTGTCACCATATATAAACTATGGTATTTAAAGCTAAAATGTGAGTATTCACAACACTAGCTTGTGTTTGCACACACATCACAGGCTAAGTATGGGTTAAATCTGTCTGTTAATTTTGTTTTAAGACCCAGTCTAGATCCTTAGCACGAGCTAACGAAGTGTGCGAAAACGCTTAGCTCGGGCTAAGCGCCCCAAACTCCATTGTATTCCAATGTCTTGGAAGATATTACTATTATATTCATAACTATTCATTCCGGTATGCCATTTCCGACATGACAATCAACGATATCACATCTAGGGACATTGTTTTCGAAAAAAAAACACGTTATAACTGTAGCAATAACTTGTATAACTAATCATAGTTAAATTGACTGAAGATTTGTATATTCTTAACAAGTTTGGGCGTTCTTTAGTCTGTGCTAACCGCTGTTTCCTCACGTGCCTGAACGATATGCAAACTTATGGAATTCAATTAAAAATATTAGCCGGTACTTGGTGTAGCCTGAACACGACTATTGTCCCGATCTATTTTTTTTACATTTGCACAATCACCAGAGGCTTTAGAATTGTTTTTTCTTTAAATCAATTTTATCAGGCCTTAAATAAAAATAGATTATTTGGAAATTTGTGATAAAGGTTCGATGTGTTTTTTTACCGTGGCTGGCAAGTTTGTGAGGTCTGTAAAAATGTTAACTGACCATACGCGTATGTAGTACGTTTAGAAAAATTCAATATTGTCACTGTACTCTCATTAGGAATGTTTAATAATATGAGTTGCTTTATTATTTTAATGAATTGGTTATTCTAATTGGTAACAATTCAAAAGCGAATGTTATTTGGTTAATAAACACGATATTGCGACAATATTCAGCGCAGACTAGAGCGTTTATAGGACATGGCAATGCTGTTAAGTTCTTTGAAACTGTTAACTCCGTAGTGGAAATAAGTCACGTGGGTCTTCTTGTAGTTCACGTAAGGTAGAGAAAATGCTTAAGTGTTCCACCAGGTTAGGAAATATTCTGTAATTGTCAAATCGATACATAATACCTAAATGCACGGAAATTAACAGATCTAACGGTGCACGAGATGAACTAGTCTGTGATAACGGGGAATCGAACCGGTCTAAGACTACGGTCGCTGAATGCATGGGATACAGCACTGCTGGTGTGCAACACGATGGTCCAGGGCCAAGGAAATGGAGAACGGAAGAAAATCGACGAAAAGAGAGCATGTGCGGGCGTCCTATTGAAAACGCGGCCATCACAACAAATGTGAAACTTAGTATAGCGACCAATGTACGTGCACGGTGGCGAAGTGGACTGGAACACGCCTCATATAAACAAGCTATTATCATTCCTCCGACACAGCCGACTGAAAACAGTTCAACTATACACGCCCTGTCCCATGAATATCCATCTACTTTTTCCGGAAAATACAGTTTTACCTGCCCTAAATTGGCTACTTCTAGTGACTGTAGTTCACCTCTACGGTATCTGTTCTCAATCTTACTCTCCATCACCTCTCTAAGAATTGAGAAAAAGTTCCAATCGATGAGAGCGTCGTCTTCTAACAGAAGTATATATTTTGGACCAAGTCTGCTCATTTCACGTAAACAAAACATGTAGTCACGTTTCTCCTTTTCGTATGTGTTATTAAACGCAACAGTCACTGGTTTAAAAAATGTTGGTATGTAATGTGATATAAATAAAGCCTCGGTATTATCATCTGGGTTGCTTTCTACGTTACATATTCTCAGCACCACGTTATTTCGTTGTGGGTATTTCTCAAGTACCTGACTCACTCTGGCTGCAACTTCAAGGACAAACTGCGGTTTAAACGAGCGATATTGTTTGTCTTTAACGTGTCTTTTTATCGTAATTATTCCAACAGCAAGCCATGGTGACTCTTTTTCGGACTGAAACATCCTGCGCAATTTATCGCCGCTATCACTGAAATATTGATGAGCTTTGTAAGCGGCCTCGTTTCTTCGACCGATGTAACTGTGAACTAAACCATCTACATCCCTCCGCAGTAGACGATAATAGTTTGAAAACGGGAAATCATAACACAAGTAGGGCAGAACAATAATAAATACTATTCCATAGAGGAATGCAAAATGACGAACTACTCGCCTTTCTTGAGCCTCTCGTCCTAGGCGTCCCATATTTAGTCCCTGACCACAGGCAAGTATAGCAACTGGACAGTAAAGCACTTTCTGAGCACGCACAGTTTAGAAACGGTTTCCGGTGACGTACCATGCAGGGCCTCCATTTTAATTTAAACCACGTGGCCAACATATTCCCAGCTAAGGGGTAAGCAGAGATCAAAGTCCGTCACAG